AAATTAAATTATTAACGATCATAATTTTAATTGTATAAGTGAGGGTTTTTAGTTTATGAATGATTATATTCCATATATATCGATAGATTCCATATATACTGATATATGACATATGGAGTACAGGCGATCATGCCGAATACAAATATCACAGTTTTCATTTTAAACTAAATAATAATACACAATTACCTATACATACTCTAATTATCTTATCTCATAATTATTCGTTTTTCAGTATAATATTTTGAAATAAAATGTGCCACCCACACGAGTTTCATTTTGTTTGATAAGAAAATAAGTTCGAAATAAATCAATGATTTTTGAAGAGTTTATATACATATATTATAAGGGCAAGTATAAAGAATAAATTAACACAAAAAAAAAAATATTTGTATTTCTGGGAAAAATAATTTTTCTTCAAAATTTATTAAATACATAGAGTACTTATATTGGGCGTTGATATTGCAAAAGTTAAATTGTATTTTGAAGGAAATTTTTGAATTCATTGTAAATTTTTAATGAAATTTTTAAAATACAAAAATATTAAATTTAAATTCAATATTTTTGTATTTATATAAATTTTTAATTTTTTATTTGATTGGGTAAATCAAGCGTAAAACATTTTGAAGGGATTTAAGAAATGGAAAATTTTAAGTATAATATTTTTTTTAATTAAGCTCAAGAAATGAAAAAAATGGTTAAAATTTCTGTTGGAAGATTTAAAGGTGTAAGACAGACCAGATAATGCAAAAACAAATTGTAAAATTTAATGAAATTCCCAATAATTATGAATTAAATTATGAATTGTTATAATATGTATTTACATTATACGAGTATTACAAAATACAATATAATTTGTATTTTTCAATGCACTTTACACAATGCATTTTAATTAAAATAACAATTAATTTAAGCAAAAAACAATATGCCGTCCCAATATTCCATATTGCTTTCCGAACATCGATCGTATACCATTTTGAAAAAAACCCATATTTTGAAGTATATTGAAAATTATATCTATTATTTTAGAGAAAATAGGAATTTCAGATTTTAAATTAAATACTTCATCAACATATCTTCTGTACTAATTTCATAATCTATGTATATATATATATATATATATATATTTAAATAATAGCAATTTTAATTTATTACTTGGAAAATTATGAAAGCAGAGATATTCAAGTTTATTTACATGAATATATATGTATTTATTATAAAAATGTGATTGTATAGTTTAACTACTGTATTTATGAGTATATTATACAATAATAGTTATATTTTTGAATAAATTTGTAAAGCTATCAACTTAATAAATATCTTTATTGTTCTTTATTATTGTTATTATTATTACTGACGTGGTTAATACGTTTTCTATCAGATAACGTCAAAATGGCATTTTTGTCACACTACAATATAATATTGTTATCTTGATTGAACTTAACTATAGAATTTTGATAATTTTTTGATAAAAAAAAACAACAAACATAATTAACATATTAAAAAATTATAATTATAATTGGGTAAAAATTTTTTTATTTAAATTCGCATTATATTTTTAGATCAATAATAATAAATTAATAATTTTTATATTAGTAAATTTTAAAAATAGCAAAAAATTGATTAAAATAAGAAAAAACAGTTTTCAATTAACTTATACACCTCTAATAACGAAAATAGATCAAATTTTGACATAAGCAGGCCCCGTTCTGATTTGTTCGGCGCCCTACGCGATGTCAAAAAGTGACTCTCCCCTGTCTTGAAAAAAAAAAATCTTGGAAAAATTTGGAAGAACTTTTATTTTCTAAATTTTAGTTTTTTTTTTAAGTTATTAATGGCGCTCATGTTTTCCAGCTCACATTGCAAATGTTTACTTTGCATAAATTGTAGATCTGCTCCTGGACACAATATAATGTAAATAAAACTATAGCAAACTTAAACTTATATTAAACGTCAAAGATTTTTCGAACTCGATTAAACTTAAATTAATTTTGGGGTTAATTTCTTGGGGAAGTTTCTTTTTTGCTCATAATTTCTAAACTATCAGTATACTAGTCGCTATAAATAGTTTCCAAAATATTAATAACGAAATTGGTGTTTATGATCTAAGAAAATCTTTATAATTTTAAAAGAATTGCTAATAATTAGAGGGAAACAGCTAAAATAAGTTTGAAATTAAGATTAATGGAATGTAAATTTCAAATATTAGATAATATAAAATCGAAGCTCCGAATGAGTTGATTTTTGTAAATTCTTATACTCACCATTAGGAAAATCACAAAACTTTTCACTTTTGATTATTTTTATATAATTGTATATTTTATTTTAAGAATTTTACTAAAGATAATTATACTTATATAACCTTAGTTTGTATACAATTTCTTTTTTTTATCAAAAGTGAAAACTTATACCATCAAAAGTTATCTTTTTATAGCTTTTTAATGTTACAATCATGTCAATTGCTTCTCTTTGTCCTTAATTTTATAATATTCAATTGTATATGATGATTCTCTTCTTATTCCCACGGAAATTATTTTTCTCTTAATGGTTCTTTTCTTAAATGCGGATTATTTTATATATACGATGATGAAAGGAAAAATTTAAAAAGAAAAATAATAAAATAACTAATAAAAAGTTTATTTTTTTAAGTGTTTTCAAGTATAAATTTAAATTTTAATTTAAAAGGATTTCATAAAAATCAACATCATTTTTTAAACAATGGTATGTGCTTTACCATTAATATAAATATTAATAAAGTATTAGAATATTTTTGCAGTCTACCTATGTATATTATATCAACAAATTTAAGTTAGAAAGAGAAAAATAAATCATATATATGTATAGTTTTCTTTAATACTTATAACACTTTTATAATGCTTTTATACTATATCAAGAATTTGTTGTATGTAAAACTGTTAAAGAATTAAATAAATGAATGATCAACATGATGTAGAACATGATTTTAGTCTAATGATTAAAATAAATATTTCGGAACCATGAGCATATATTATGGCATTACATTTATTTAATTAATAAAAAGTTACATTTATTAATTATATTATAATATTATAATAGTATATATATATGAATAAAATATTTAATATAACACTAATAATTATAATTAATATATTTAATATAACAGAATACTTTACATGGACAGAAATGTTACAAAGAGAATTTTCTATGTATACCGCTTTTTAATAGGTTAAATCCGGAAGGGTTTGTCGCAAAACAAATCCAAATCTGTTGTGTATCGCAATAATGCAGAATTCGAAAAAAACCCCAAATAAATAGGCGCTCAATATTTTGATATTGGTTAAACTTCTTAAAACTCAAATTTTCGGGATTTTAAATTTCAATATTAAAAGGGTGATTGAAATAAGGAATTTTTGTTTGATTCATCAGATTTAAGCCATATGACAGATTTTAAATATTTTACAGCTCAGTCTGTCCAATTGAATAATTTTTTTTTAAAGTGAGATTACTTTTGCAGCTATATTATTTTTCAAAAAATGTATTTCATATTTGAGGCAATAGTAATTTCGCTTTCTTAGAAAAAATAAAATTCCATAGTTTTGGTCCCTTCCACGCATGCATAGTGCTCACTGTATAACTCACTAGAATACGCTCACTGTAACTTTTATAATATTTATGCAATTTTATAATATTTAATGCTCCATTTAATGCTATTTTATATTTAACAATTATTAATTTTAAACTTATCAATTGATTTTCGAATTTACGTTATTATTGCGAAAATAAACAAATTTTAAGAAAAATTAAGTCTAGATTGGAATTATTAATTTTGGCTTTAAATTCTAACTATATTATCCTTTCGATTATCAATAAGATTTTTTCCAACACAATGTTTCAATTATAGCCAAACAAAGTATAACAATTTTAAACTACATTTTGCATTGTCATTTTAATTAATTAATTGTAATCCAATTATTTTTAAAAAATTATTAATTACAAAAAAAAATTATATTAAAATTATTTCATTGAGAATTATTTCCGTCTGTGAAAAGAATAAAACCGATTATAAATGGAAAAAAAAATTATAATTAAATAAATTCCAATTAATTATTTGAAAATCTGAAGTTAAATCATTTTGAAATTAAATATATTTTTTTTTTATATAAAATCTTTCAGAATATAAGACTTCCTTTTTAATAATTAAAAAAAAAAGGTATAAATTTAATCACAAAATATAAATTTTCTTTTAAACTTTATTTTGTAAACTCAAGTAAAAAGGATAATTAAATTTTTCTCTTTTTTTCTTTTATTTTTTATTTTTAACTTAAAATACAAAAATCTTGAAAAAAACCCATTTAAATTAATTTTATTTTATAATAAGTTTTTTTTTATGCACCATCTTCAACTGGCATATTATATAACTGTATATATAAAAAAGGTAAATTGGAATAAAGAAAAAATCTGAATTAAATGAGTAACCATGATAATAAGTTATTAATTGCAATTCTTTTTTTTTATATAACCAACATACACACAGACCTAAATCCTATATATATATTTAGGTAAGTGTTGCGGTAACATGATTTATAAAACGTGCTGCGATAATTTTTCAATAATTTTTATTTAAAGTAGATATTTTTTTTTTTTGCCATGTCAAAGAAATAATTTGAGAACAAGGTACCTATTAAATGAGGTTGTCATTTGGAATATTATTCATTTTTCTAATTTATATTTCTTTTTTATTACAAATCTTGATTTAGCATCCCTTTAGACAGTACTCCTGTATAAACTCCTTTAAACCATCAATTTCCCTTCAATTGATTTCATTAGTTTTTTTTTTAAACTGATTTAACTCTAAAATTAAAAAAAAGAATTTGAATTTTATCAATATTTTGTCTAATATTCTTGTGGTCCAAAATGAATGAATGGATAATTGAATAATCTTATTGGATTAAAATATTATAATTTTATTTAAAAATAAAATTAATAAATTTTTTTATAATAAAATTTTTATTTTTATTTTACAGGTGCTGGTGAATCGGGAAAAAGTACCATAGTCAAACAAATGAAGTAATTTTGATTTTTTTCTTTGCTTACTAAAAACCATCAAATTTAATTGAATTTAATTAATTTTGTTTTTTTTTTTTCAGAATTATTCATGAGAGTGGGTTTACATCTGAAGATTTTAAACAATATCGACCAGTTGTGTACAGTAACACAATTCAATCACTAGTTGCAATCCTTAGGGCAATGCCAAACCTAAGTATTCAGTATAGCAATAATGAAAGAGAGGTAAAAATTATATGAAATAATTGAATTGAAATAAAAATGAAAGGAAATTTTTGTTTTTAAATTGTATAAAAAAAATTTCTAATTAAAATATTAATTTATAAATTATTGAAGCTATTGAGACTATAGCATTAGCGATTTATTTTAAATTTGTCATATTTTATATGTTAATTGTTTGAGATTATGTCGAGAAAACTTTTAATTTAAATTTGTTCGGAATATTATTAATTATGGTATAATATTAATAATAAAATGTCTAACATTAATTCAATGATTTATTTTAAAAAAAAAAAGAACTTTTGCAATCAATTCTTACAATATATACAATGATTCTACCAAATGTTTACGAATATTGCAATTTGTTATCTATAACAAGGTTATTAGATAAAATGAAAAAAGCCAAATTTTTTATATTTCAATTCGAAAAAAATTTTGCCGGTGCATATAGAAACCAAAATTTTATTAATATATTTAATTTTGTATAATATATAGAGTGATGCAAAAATGGTTTTTGATGTATGTCAAAGAATGCACGATACTGAACCATTTTCAGAAGAACTTTTAGCGGCTATGAAAAGATTATGGTCAGATAGTGGTGTACAAGAATGTTTCTCACGTAGCAACGAATACCAATTAAATGATTCAGCAAAATAGTAAGTGAAAAATTATTAAATATTTTCTATAATTTTCTTTTTATATTACAACAATTCAATAAATTTATTTAATTTATATAAAAACAATATATAAAATTTAAATACATACATACTTAAAATTTTATGAAAATATAATTTAAACTAAAAATTTATATTTTTATATATAAAATATTTTGTACATTCCTCAATATTCTCTTGGTGTCAATTTGAATTTAAGCGGTGATTCTGGTATATATGTTGAATTAATTTTATATTTTAATTCACCATAATTATATTCTACTTTATATTTCCTAAAAATCTGCAAATAAATAAGAAATAGAATAAATGAATAAGAAATAAGAAAATAATTTGTGAAAATTGCTGGTAAATAAAATTATAAATTTTAATTATAAATATAGTATAATTGATTGAATAAAAAATGTTTTTAACTGTAGAGGTAAAATTAAAACAAAATAACGAAAGAAAAAAAAATTGAAAGAAAAATTTTCATTTTGCCTCTAATTTTATTTGTCAATTTAACATTAATTAAAAAGATGAAGAAGAAAATTGGAAAAACATTTTGCATATAGCAAAAACATAAAAAAAAAATTGAAATTAAAGGATCTTCTATATTAAGATTATCCAAGGTCAAATTAATAATAAAAATAAATTAAGCATTAATAAATGACCCTTTTATATATTTTTATTCTTTTATCGTATTTTCCATCATTTTTCCCATTACTGATATCTTCGAAAGTCAGGATTCAGGAATGAATAAAAATAAATTTATTTATATTATAATTTTTCATACATATAGTTTGTATGTTAAAATTGGCCAGTTTTAATAGCCGCTTTATTATAATTACAAGGTTAATCATATAAAATTTCCTTAAATATTTTATATAATCTTAATAATAGAAATAATGCTGCAAATTTATTTTTTTTTTTATTACAATTTATTTTTTCCTCTTGGATTTTGTAGCCATTTTAATTCAAAAATTTTGTCAATACCATAGAAATGACAATTAAAACTTGTTTTGAAAAAATTTATATGAGTTTACGAATCGGATAATAAATTGAATTTTAATTGCATGTCTTTTTTTTTAATTTATTTTGGAAAATATATTTAAATAAATTTTCTCTTTCCATATCAGATATTTAAAACTTATTCTTAAGTTGCATTATTTCAATTATGATTTCAATTTGAAATTTAATTATTTTCTTTTAAATAAAATTAAAAAAATATTTAAAGTATTTTTTTCAAATGAAAACCAACTCACTAACTTTAATTATAAAACTTTTTATAATAAATAAATTTAATACATGAAAAATTATATACCAACAAACGTATATATATACATGTATACATATATATGTATATATGAAATATCATTACATACCTTTGCTAATAATGTATTTAATTCAATTTCTGCATATCTTCGACCAACACACATTCTTCTACCAAAACCAAATGGTAAACTAACAAATGGATGAATTTTTTCTTTTGTATATGGACATAATTCATCTTAATGTTTTTAAGAGAAAAAAAAATGAGAGCAAAAATAAAAATTAATCTTAATTATTTTAATATTTTAAAAGCATATTTTCATAAATATTATATTATAATATTTTACTTATACAAGTAATAATAATAAATAACTTTAAAACTCTCTTTTTACTATTTTTTTACCTAACTTATTGTATATGTAAAGTTTATTATAAATTTAACAAACCAATTTGAATCATAGTATGAAGAAATTTATACAAGATTAAAATATGGGCAACAAAAGTTAGTAATTATTACTAGAATTAAAAAATTTAATGGCATCTATATTAAAGGTACCGTTTTGCAAATTTCAAATTTTTATTCATTAGTTTAATATTAAATTGCTTCTTGAGTCTTATATTTTATATTCAAGCACTTTTTTAATTTTTTTTTTTAGATCAAAATGAAGAGCTAGAGCCATGAAATAGAGCATATAGTTAACGCTACGTAATGTTTTAAAAAATACTCGCATAAGCCCCTTTTGGGTCCGCACATTTCTGAGTTTTCTTTTGATTAAAATTCAAGGTTCCTCAAGTTTGGTCGTATGGTTTAGTTACAAAGACCTTGAAATACGCTTCAGGAACTTTTCCATAAACCATTTTTACCCATAAGTTTCTAAAGATAATTCAATACATATGATCAGATAGCTTCGACGAGGTATACAATTTATGTTCTGAGATATTTTGAGAAATCCATTCTTTGAGTTCACAACCTCCAAAAAGTATTTTTTCACTGTCATATATTTGGTTCCAAATCCCAATTCAATCTATCAAAGACTCATAATTTCTTTAAAAAATATCTAATATACTTCGGTAGCATTCTGAAATCTTCGGGAATTGTAAAGTAGAATCTATTTTACTAATTATTTTTTTTCTTTTCATTTCTGTTTTGTGCCATTTTAATAAAATTCGTTTTTAATTCTTTTTTAGTATAAATTCAGATTTTAAAATTATTTAATAAATCATTTAGTTGTCATTGTCACAAATTTATGCTGTTCTATTTATAAATTTATAAATGAACAGACATATATATTTAATACTCATTCATATGGACATATACTCGTATACTGAATTTATTTTATATGATTTATGCATAAAATAAGTACTAGTTATGTATTTTCTAACTAAAATGAAAATCTCGTTTTCTCATATTTAAATTCATGTGTATTGTTCATGCCTACATATTATTTCAAATCAATTTCATCAATTCAATTGCACCCCTCATTTTATTTAAAGTCATTTACACCATTTTTTTTTTAATAATAAATGAAAAGAATAAAAAATGGATTTAAGTAAAAAGTAGCAAAGGATATTTTAGCGCACAGGTACACAATGCCATAACGAACAAAAAAAAAATAAAAAATCAAAGTAAATGTTATATAAATCATATTTCGGTAAAAAAAAGGATTTGTATTTTATTGATGAACTCAAAAGAGAATACATATTATAAAAAATATTTATTTATATGCTCAATAATGTATGTAGATTTTCACAAAAGAACATTGTTAATATAATAAATATAAGTGCATATAAGTATGAGTTGGTATGTGAAATAAATAATTTAACTTACTAGCTTCATTGAATTTCATCCATCTCTCAGGGACAAATTTATTTGGTTCCGTAAAATATTTTGAATCGTTTGATACCACCAAATGAGGAAATATTACATGCGTCTACATACAATTCAACGATCCACAATGATGATGATTGTTGTTATTTTTATATGCGGTATTTAGTCAATTATTTTACATGTTTTGTCATTTTGATATTGTTGGGAAGGTATTGGGGTTTATATGAAAAATTTTGAGAAAAAAGAAGAAAACAATTGAGAACATAAGCAAAAAAAAAAACGCAAACATGAAAACAAAATTAAATTAAATAAAAAATTTATCGAGAACACAATTTTATTTTTTATTTGCATTATTTTTATTTTTTGAGTGACGGCAATAATAAAAATATCGCATAATTTTTTAACAAAATAATAACAATAAAAATTGTATTTTTATATTTACCCCTTTTGGTACTTCGAACCCAGCAATTATTGAATCGGTTTGTAAACTTCTACCATTTGCAATTACAACCGGATACATTCTGTGCATACGTAATTTTCCCAATATAAATGAAAAATATACAAAGAATAAATCCAAATGTTAAAATAAAGAAAAAACAAAAATGAATTGTAAATTATCATATTTTTACAGTGTACTAATAAACATTATAATGTATAAATATTTAGGCAAAAATATCACTATATGTATATATACAATGTTGTAAACAGAAAATATTATATGCAAAAATGTATATTGTAGTTTATTATTCAATTTATATTAATGTTGCCAGCATTTTATATGTATGTTTTGTACACTGTGAGATTTCTCCACAGAATTGCTTATATTTTATAGTAATTGCTATACTTTAATTATAGTACAAGATTTCAAAGCTACATAAGCAAGGCTTAATAAAGCTTATTAATTCTTTTTCCTAGAAATTTTAAAATTTAAATGTCCAACACAATACAATTGCCTATACATAATTTTCTTTCTGTTTCTTATATATTTCTAATACAATTCTCATTATTTATCCAATTATTTAATATTGTCGTAATTATATTGTGTTTTAAAAAATATTACTGCATATATTTTTATATATATTTAGATAATTATGCTTATTAGTAATTATTATTTTTAAATTTATTCAATATTTTAATCATTAATAAATTTTTAAAAAAATCAATAAAGTCATATAATATTATCTTGTTAAATAAGCCCCGATAAGTATGCAATATTTTACAATAATATTAATCTTAAAATTAAACGCTTGTGTTAATCAAATTAAATTATTAAAAAAAAACTATTTATAATAAACTTAATTCATTCTTCCTTTGTGAAGTACATTATAGTTTTTTCCCGATTCTCTAACTTATTTAAGCTTTCAAAATGCAATAATTTGTAAGATCTTCAATTTAAATCAAACTTGATCACTAAATTTAATTATACATAATTAATTTATTAAAATAATATACATATTGGTGGTAACATTCTCTAGCAAAACATAATATTAACACATACTACGTACATAAAAATTATGAAATATTACCTTAATGTTTCTTTAATACATGCCCGCAAATATGGTATTTTCTCTAATGCGTTCTGATCAATATTTGCTTTTTGATTTGGAAAAATATTTTTCAATTCATTAAATAATTTTTCTTGTTTGTCGGGATTTTTACTCAATTGATATATTGTGGACGATGCTGCAACTGATGTCTAAAAGTAAAATATGAAAACAGAAAATATTAAAGAAATTGTTTTTATTTTATTTTTCTTTAAAAATATTTACAAAGCATTTATTCATAGAAGTTTTTTACTATTTTATTTAATAGTGAATATATATACGAATGTGAAGTGAACTATTTATGAACTGACTTCTCCTATCTGTATTTATGCTTCCACATGCGTAATGTAATGTTCCGGAAAATTTTAATTGAATTAAAAAAAAATAAATTTGAGAAAAGAAAACCGCAAAAAGATTTTCTTTACGTATATGGATATTACATATGTAGGCATGTATGCCCTTAATAATTATATAACTCAGTATTTAAATCATAAAGTGTTTTGATTATTAAAAATTCTTAATTAAAGTCATTAAAATTTATCATCAAAAGCTACTCTTGTTTCTGTAAAAAAAAGTAAGTTTTTGCGTTCAAGGAAAAAAGGTTTTCTTCCTATTCATTATTTAAGAAAAATGACTAGGTGTTCATATATGTATTCTAAAAGTAGTAGTCCTAAAAACCAGTTAAAAAAATGTTTTTTGTATGAAATTTCTATGAATATAGTCTGGCTTTTTTGTTTTGTATGAATTTGTGAAAGGGACCTTCTAGTCATTTACTCAATTTCCTTTTCAAATTAAATATAAAAAAAAAGTTTTTTCTTTATAGTTTTCGTGAACTTAATAGGAATTCTACTAAAGAGCTCAAACATTTAGTTTTAAGTCTGCTTTTTAATTGTATGTATGAGATGGTTTTCAAAATTGCGCGATTTTAAAATTTTCCTTAACAAATTTTCATTATGATTGCTCTTATTTTCGATTATAGTTTAATAATAAAATTCTTTAGAATTAAGATCAAATTCTCGAATTAAGATCAAAGTTGGTAAAGTATTAATAAAAATTAAATAGTGTTTCACAGAGTTCTAGTCATACTATAATCTAACAAAGTAGGTGAAATACACAAAATATCTGTGAAATCTGTGGAATATTTGATGTGATCGTGGAATATATTATATTATATTTTCATGTATTAGTTCTATATTTGAAATTTCATGTGGAACTTTATTTTTTTGTCTACCAGCACGATAATAATATAAAAGATGCTAAAACATAATAAAAAATATTTCAATATACATTTTTGAATTTCCCGTCTCTTGAATTAAAAAAAAAAATATTGCGTTTAAATTGAAAATTGTTCATTGAAATTCAAAAAATTCAAACTTTACGGTAATTTTGCAATCATTTGTTTAGTTTCAATTTCAATTTCAAAGTGTATAGAATAAATTTTACTTCTAATAATTTATAATTCAAAAAAAAAATTATTTTTTCCAAAAAAGAAATTTTTTTTTTTTGAAGAACGCAATATTTTTTCATCCATAGCTTTTGGTTTTGTAAATATTTATAATAAAAAATTCTACGTACTATTTTCATTGTACACAACAATTTGATTTTATGGTTACTTTTTGCTACTTACAGTCATATTTCGACTAAATAATATAAGAAAATTTTTTACTTGAATAAGTTTTCTTGAATTTTCTTTTATTTTCTTCAATTTATTTGCTGCTTTCCATTTTTGAGCAAATTTCAAGTTTTAAAAGAAAAATAATTAAAGTTTTGAGTTTGTAATTTTTCGATAATTTTCTAGGATACGAAAAAATGAATCGTTTTATATGAAGGTTTTTAACAATTTGTTGTCAGTTCTATTTTCATATAAAATTTCAGGATTTCACTGTATATTATAATGAATAAGAATAATCATATATTAGTATTTTTTGTATATTATATTTACCGTATCAACTCCAACTAAAAATAAATCTAAAGCTAAAACTGTTGCAATTTTATGATTTTTAGTTTTTTCAATAATTCTCTCAATAATTGATATATCGGATTCATTCTTTTTATGTTTACATTTTTCTGATTCTGCCATAGTTTTGTTTATATATTTCATACATATTCTGTAAAATATTAATATACAATAGATTTAAATAGAAATATTGTACTTTTATTAAAATAAATTTATTTTTTTTAAATTTCGAAATAATAAATTTTCTTACTCTGTAAAACTATCTAAAGCTGAAACATAACTCTTATATGCTTTGGTTGAATAAAATTTCCATATTGGCATTTTTAATTCTAATTCAAATATTGTTGTAAAAAATGTATTAATTTCATTAATTATCTGTTTTGCTTCATTTGTTTCATTTTTTGATAAACAACCCAAACGTGTATCTAATGCAACACGACCAACAGCTATAAAATAAAAAATGAAATTTTAATAAATTCTAATAATAAATTATAAAACAAAATTGGAATTGATTGTAATTTTGAACTTCTGTACAAATAATTGAGGTCCAATCTAATTTTATTGAATTCTTATAAAATTTTATTAAAAATGTTTTGGAACCAACTTTAGAATTTTTGATAGCTTTCATATCAGAATGTTACAAAATTCATGTTGTACAGTATTCTTTTTTTTTTTTTTGAAGTTTCTTGAAAAATCTATTTATTCCACATAGTTTATATCTACTTGTAATATATGTACTTGTTTATATTACCAGTTCTCCAGGTGTACATTATTATAATCAAAATTGTTTGTGTGAATTTTGTATTCAATATAAAATTTTTCAGTTCTTCAGCTAACAATCGTACACATTTATGAAAGTTTTATAAATTATTATAATTTCGTGCCCATTTTAAATTTATGATGTATGTGAAAAATAATTTGTTTAAATTTTCATATTTAATCTTGGCCAACTTATTAATTAAAATTTAAATGAAAAAAAAAATATTTTCTGTAACAATATTTTAAAATTTCCAAAACTTTAAAAAAAAAATAATAATTAAAATTTTCCAATTATTTAAATTAAATTATGCGTAAAAATTCAATGCTTTTTTTATTATTTAAAACAAAAATAAAATTTTTAAAATGGAAAACTAAAATTATTCGAGAGAAAAATAATTATTTTTTATAAAAATTTATACAATTTTTTTTTCCTTTAATGCAATTGAATTTCTGATATTAACATTCTATTTTATATAACATATACATACATACGTTCATTTGAGGTTAATTCTCTATTTAAATCTAAAGCAAATTTTCAGTTTTTATATTAAATTACATAGATTCTTTGTAATAATTTTAAAACTTAAATTCACGTTAGAAAAATGATTCAGCTTAAGATTTCAATAAAACTTTGTTATAAAATATGTGTTTCATAAAATAAGAAAAATACATACATTATATTATACAAACGTATAAATTTAATAAACATTATTCTCTATGTTATACTATAAGATCCTTAAATGTACATTTAGTATATTGCAAAATTTTGTGGTTAAAAGAACTAAGAATTTCTGAGTTTTTTTTCTGTTTTCCAAAACAGTTTTCCGTTGAAGATCTGTTTCTTTATGCTGTATAACATTATAACTTTTATGTCCTAAAGATTTAAAAGGTATAAAAGCTTTATAAGCAGATAAATGGTTTGCATGGATATATGGGTCGGACACATAGCCGGTGAATATAAATTTTTTTTTAAATATTATTGAGAATGTAGTAAAAACTAAAAACGTGCGTGAATTGTAACAAATTTTTATCTTTTGTTTTATAGTTTCTTTTATTTTTGATTTCCTCAACATTATTATTATTATAATTAAATAAATACATAATAAAAAAATTACATTATACAATTGAAACTATTTGGTTAACCAAAATAATTCGAAGTTCTTTATACATTTAAAAATTTAAAAAAAAAATGGTACAAATAATGCTATAATCCCTTTAAAATAAGGTTAAAGGTAATGAGTATAAGAAGAAACACAAAAAAAGGAAAACAAAAAGCAGGGGAAAAAAATTAAGGAATGTAATTTCAAGGATTCCAAAATTTTCTTATCTTAGTAAAACGCAAATAACTTGGATAAAAATCTAAATTAAATATTGATTTTTTTTTCATATTCTTATATTCCATATATTTTATTTCTGTTGTATTTTTCTTCATTTTTTTTTTGATTTTATGCGTAAAAAAGTCCCTACTTTTTTTTTAATTTAAGAAATATTTCAAGAAAATAGTTATATATTTTATAGCTAAATATTGTACGTATATATTATAGCTAAATACGTATAAATATTAGCAAACATTTATATACATACACTCAGGGGCGGACATACCATGTATGCAAAGTAAACATTTGCAATGAGCGCCGGTAAACAGGGGCGCTATTGAAAACTTGAAAAAAAAGTAAATTGTTTTCCAATTTTTCCCATTACGTGTTTTCCGAAAATTTTTCTCTTTCTTTTTGGTAATTTCACTGACCACTGTAAACATTGTGAAACAAAAAGCTAAAAGCTTAATTCCAGGCTTTAATTATTTGACTAAGCTTGCACTCAGCATGATAAAGTAACAAAAAAGTGATTTATTATGCGTAATGTGCAATATTTTTTGAAAAGTGTTCGTTATTTGAAAAGGGGGGCGGGCGTCGAACTGCTAAGAACCGGGCCTGCATATAGTAATATGCATATTTTTTTATTTTCTTAAACAAAATAAATTATTTTAAAATGAGAACTACAACCTTTTTTTACGAAGAAGTAAAACATACAAATAGCAAATATTGTGTTTCTACAATCCCACTATTTTTCACAATATGTTATATACATATGTATGTACTTATTATATATACTTTACCACCTACACAAGTTTAGAACAAAAAATTTACGTATCCTTCATAAATGTTTGTGTAATATGTAAACATTAAACAAATAGCAATGTATTTAATATAAAATATGCACGCACAATTTTAAGATAAATTAAAAAACGTATACACTATGTAGGTTGGTTATTAAAATTTACTATTATAATCACATGAGAAAAGAGGCTATTATAACAATTGAAAAATACAATAAAATAATAAAATAAATGTTCAAAATTATGAATATTTTATTATATCTTTTATAGTGTATATAAAATAATTTAGAAAAAAAATACGTTCTAATGAAACTGGATTAATACTCGTAACTGCATATTACATATTATATGGGAGTATAAATACGAAAATAATTTGTATTTTGTATAAAATTTGTATTTTGTACATGGTAAATTTTCAATAATTCTATCCTTAATTAAATTTTAAAAAAATTGGTACTCATGTACGCATTTCAATAAAATACAAAAGATTTTCTTAAAAATTTTGACTGAAATATGGAAAATTTTGTGTTTAATTTTCTTTACCAATTCTGCAATTAGAGTTGAATGGTCAATATTAGCAACAAATTTCATTCCCACAGCAATTTGAACGTCAAATTGCATAATATTTAGTTTTAAATTGTCAATTCTTTACTCATGTTCAATAATTTAATTTAATAAATATTTTGGTACCAAAGTCTTTCTTTTGTAATATGGCAAATTCAATTTAAATCTGGAAACTATGCAAATCACACACAAAATGCCAGAAATAAAAGTACGTAAAACTAATTAGCAAAAAGAAAAAAATCTTATTATGTTTTTTAGTATTATTTCTTAATAAATTTTATTGTGACGTCCTCGAAAATACTATAATGTTTACTTTAATTTTTCTATAACACACTGCATTAGTGTATTACTATTGCATTTATAAGTTTCAGTAATTAATTAGGTTATTAATTTTTCAACATAAGCTATAGGTATGTACATAATATGTTTATTATTTTGAAAAAAAATTCTAGATAAAAATTATAACTTCAACAATACGTAATACTTGATTCGAATCGCTATACTTAACAACGGGTAATTTATTCTCATAAATTTCTCAATTACGAGTTTTTTTCATTTTCTATATACCGATGCAAAATTTTTATATAGAAACTCTCTATAGTATAACTTGATAGTTTTAATAGCCGTTGTTTTCATTGAAAAATTCTATAAATTTATTATCATGTATTTTATTTTCGATTGACAAATAAATTGTGATTTAAAATAGATGTTTGTGAAAACAATAGAAAAATTTCAGAAAATGTAATTTTAGAAATTGATTCACGTTTTTTTGTTTTTTATTTTTTTTTTGTTATTCGTTCATTATTAAAAGCACATTTTCACTCTTCACCCATTATTATACATATACAATTTTCAATTTCGGGAGTGATTTAACCTAGTTTTTTTCCTTCCTTTTTTTGATAGGGAAAATTTAAAATAGTGTACTACACGGAAATAATCAAAAACCATATACATATACATAATATATTGCATTTTTAGATAACTTTCATTTAATTTATGCGAAAATAATAGCATTCTATTTGTACTAAATTTAAATTTTGATTGAAAATTTGAATATTTATTTTTTACTCTAAATTTAAATTGATATTTTATTCTCTGACAACATATACAGAATAACGTGTAAACAGGGATTTTTCTTTTCTAATCTTCTTCATATAGTATATGCCTCTACGTGTTTACATAAATGATTTCTCTACATATGCATACATATAGAAATCTACATACTTTTATATCTTTACCGCTATAAAATTCATATAGAAACCAAATTTTATTTCTATCTTAAAAATATATTAAAAAAATCCAATTAAATTCCAATTACAATATAAGGATTTAGTTAATGCAATGGATCGTTTGGGATATAGCATTACAGTTAATCTTAAAATTGTGTATTTTTTAGAAGAATTTTGGTTAATAGCAATTAATTATAAGATTTACTATAAAATTCAAGTCGAAAATTTAAAGGCGAACCTCTATAGTATAAGTGTTTTGATGAAATCTAAAAAATGTACAGGAATTTTTTATCATTATAAGTATGTAAAATAAAGAAAAATTGTAAAAAAGAAAATCCCATTAAAATATTGAAATATTAAATTGTTCGTACAGGTTTTCTATATTTGTATGTATTTCAAGCAATTAAATTTCTAATAATATGTATGTATAGACAATACGTATAAAGCATTTTCCTAAACAAAAAATTTAGGTCAAAATATTAAGAAAGAAAATTCGGGAGAACAAAAAAAACACATGGCGTATAGTGACCATTATCTTTTTTTTATCTCTATATTATTTTATTTTTGGTTTTGTGCTTAAAGGACCCAAAATAAATCACATACATACAAACATTTATCTATCTACTCTTATACATATATATATATTTAAATAAAATTATATCGATCGGTCATAGATCATTTTATTCTTTCGTCATCGAAAATTAATTTTACCGGAGGACCTCTAAATAAAAAATTCCGAAAGAAGAGCAAAAAAAAAAAATTTATAAATGAAATTAAAATAAAATTTCAAAATTTTAGGTACCCAAACTATGTACTTATCCTATAATATACATCAATTCCATCATAACATGAAAAGGGAAACGAAAACTAAGTGGTTGAAAAAAATATACACTAAAGTTTTAGAATAAAATAAAAAAGAAAAACGAAAACTTACATTCCAATGCCCATTTGTATAATTCATGTAAAAAATTTCCTGGTAATTCGTCATTTTCATCACGCATCTCATGAATCCTTAAAAGAAATACACAAGCACAAATACAAATGAAAAAGTACGCAAAAAAAGAGTGTTTATTATACAAAAAAAAAATAAAAAAGTAAAACGTGGAATGAAGAAAACATTCAACGATATAAGGGATTAGAAAACAAAAAGTAAAAAGTAAAAATAAAAAATAAAAACACCTTACATTCTTGTGTAATATAAAGAACAATAAAAAAATAAAACAATAATACACATGCTTATGTATATATATATATATATACATATATATATATATATATACATATATATATATATATATACATAAGCATATACATTTATATATATGTATATAAAGTATATATATATATACTTTATATACATATATATATATATATATGTATTAAAAGTACATAAAAAATATATATATATATATGTATATAAAGTACATAAAAAATATAAAAAGCAACCGAGGACACACCTTTCCATAAATTCATCGGCAATTTCATTTAAAGGTTGAATATATTTTTTAGCCATTTGTGGTTGCAATAAAATATGTTGTACTTCAGATCTAAAATTTTCCCAATCCTTGCCGTGTCTAAAAGAAAATTCAAAAAAAAATATATATATATAACTATATATTCTTCTATATACTTATAAACATATATACACATTGTATAATGTTCGTATGATTATGATAAAAATATTTTGTTATATAAAAGAAAATAAAGGTAAAGAGAAAAAAAGTGGTGAATGAGATTGTATGATTGGTGTTGCCAAAAATTCAAAAAAAAAAAAAAAATTTTATTAAAAATATTTTCTAAAATTTTTAACATTCAACCAATTTAAATTTTGTATTCTACACATTAATTAACATTTAATCAATTTGTTATACTCTTATACATATTGGTATTATATAAATGTAGTTGCGATATGACAGGAAATTTTATCGATATTATAAATTCTAGTCGTTAAAATTTTCAAAGAATTCATTTGTACCAAGTTATAAATTAAAATATTTGACTTTTTTCCGAAAACTAAATTTGTGAAGCATTTCATGTACAATATGAACCACTACTTTTAAATTTACGCACTCTCGTAAGACGTCAATTAATCTTAACACAAACTATTTTATTTCATTCTATCAAAACTATAATTCTGCTGCAAAATATTGATAGGGAAATGGAGATCCGACTGTAATACACTTGAAAATTTTGACCAGAATTCTAAAAAACCATAAATATAATATTAATGAATTTAACATCATATCAATTCAATGTTAAACGCAAACTAGTTCTATGAAGCCATTATACATTTGTATCAATCTTAATATGAAAATTCCTGCAAACTAATAATTTTCAGTAAATTAATTTAATTTACTACATTATAAAATTTTTAAATTTTTTCTCTTTGGCAATTCCATATACACATATACAGTAATATTATTGAATACAGTATTAATATAGGGTAGGATTAAAAAGGAAAAATTCAAGCTTAAGTAAAAAAGAAGAAAACCTTCCAATAAACATCACATGAAAATTAAACTTTAATGCTTTAACCCCAAAATACAAATAAGAAACTGTATATATATACGTTAGTAAAGGAAAAATATAAGAAAAGTTGAAAAAAAACAATATAAGTATATACAGGTATACAAAGAAAAACAAAAATCTTATAATTTATACAGTTAACATTGACAAAAAAAGAGAGAAAAAAAAGAGGAAAAGAAAAGGTGAAAAGAAAAATTACACTTCACTTACACTCCAATCAATCCACCTGTGTTCCCAAAAAAATCTTTACGTAGTTGACCTTTATAATGTTTTAGTGATGGCATAGATGGTCTGTAATATACAATAAGAAAATTAAATTAAATTAAATTTACTCTCTTTTTTCCTTTTTGATTTTTGTTATTACGTTTTATTTTATATATATATATATATATATATAGATATACGAGTAGTAAAGTTACTGTAATTTTAATGTTATACTTACTTTTTATCTTAAATTATAACTCGTATTCATATTATATGATTGTAATCCATATAATATGTATGTAGTATATTTTGTAACAAATACAAGAAAGGGATATATAGAGTGGATCACAAAAAAACAGTTTTGTCACATCCACACTTGTTATATTAAATATGAATCGAAAACTTGCCTTTTTTTTTTATTCAGTATAATTCTAAGTCTTCTTTAAATTATTATTAATTTATTTTAAGTGTGGAATCGATTCCCAGTCATATATATATCTCCAAGTTCTTTTAATATATATCGCTTTAAAAAATTGTCAAATATTTTTGTTTTTATTACTTTAAACGGTAAGATAAAGAAATAGTTGCTATTTAGTTGTTGTTATTTAATTTCCCTAAAATATTGGACCTGTATATGGTTCAATATTATAGGGTAATATTTTTTCTTACTTTATAATTGTTCATTATTGAAATATATACCGTATAGTATATATGTATATCAAGTTTAACAATATCTTGTTTCCTTTAAAAATTATACGCGCTTCGATACCCATATGCAGGTGCTCAAAATATGATTTATGTGGCTTTCTTTTCACCTATAAAAATGCCACAATTACAACATATCGAAATAATTTTTAATTTCTTTGCATTAAACGGTGACCACCCTAAAATTTCCATATATGCACAAAAACATATACTTATGAAGTACATATTTAAAAGGTAAAAAAGTACATATACGTTTAAATATAAAAGTACGTGAACTTATTGTAACGTATTTATAAGAACATAATATGACACATTGTGTATAAGTAAAAAATTTAACCAGGGGAATACTTTAAGAATATAGTTCCTCGAGGATAAATTTTTGTTAATTTTATGAAACAGTTTATTGAAAAACAAAAATCAAAAGTACATATACATATGTATATATTCATACAGCCATACACATAATATAATATTTTAAATGAATTTAAATTACTTGTACCTTTTGTTTTTTTTTTTTTTTGTTTTTCTAAAGGTAAAAATATTATTTCCTTATTTTAATTCTGAAATCACTTAAATTTCATAAAAATAATTTATGAGCATATAACAAATATAATTTTAAATATGTTTTCATTATATAAAATTTTATATATATACATATATACAAACATATATAATATGATAATACTTTGGGGATTTGAGAAAAATTTCATTGAATATTAAATATTAAATAAATGCATTTTTAATCTCAGTAAAAAATCCGCCCCATCCTTTTCGTAATTCTTTTTGATTTAAAAATCAAAAAAATTTAATTTTTATCTTTTTTCGTTAAGAATAATTTTTGCCCAATTATTCATTTTGAAGAATTTATATTGATTACTGCTCGTTTAAATTAACAAAAGGTCTGTCAATATTGTCGAATAATTTTAAATTATATATGAAAAACCTTAGCATTAAGATTAAAATACAATATAACATTAGATAACTTAAATTTTTCTTAAATTATTTCGTGAACCAAAAAAAAATTGATAAATTAATTGAACTTATTAGGAAAAGTGTGTAATTTAGTGAAATGTCTACAATAAAATCTTGAAATATTCTTTATGTTTCTCAAATGCGTTTCTTATCTTTAGATTACGCAATCTTCTGGTTCTCATCTTAAGATTATCATTTTTAGTTTATGCGAATTTTTAAAGCAGTTAGATTAAAGAAATAAGTGAATGTATCATAATTTGTATTGAGATGTAGTAGCTACATAGTAGCTAAAACGAGCACTTTTTATATTTAAGATGCTTGGATCTCTGCATTTATTGGTATTTCATTCTATTTTGCCATGAATTGTAAATCCGTAAAATTTCAAGATCTTCGAATTTAAAAAGTTTTTACGAATGCTTAGTCTCGCACAGAATCTAATTTAAAATGCGAACAAAATAAGAAAATTCTATTAAATTTCAACCAAACCAATTCAAGCATTTGTTGAAAATTTAAAAATTATGATCAAAAAATGTTTGGCTTCGAATTTGTTTTTTTTGCACTTTTCGTCCTACGTAATTTATAAAAGTTGGTATATACATAATATGTATTAATATAAATATAACAATTGTAATAAAAATTAAAAATATAAAAAAAAATTTTTTTCTTTCCTTTTTCTTTTTATTTTCGCCTAAATGTATGCATATTATTTAATAATCTCATAAATTTAAGTAAAAATAAAAATAAAAAATTCTTTTTGATGCATAATATGTATAATATTTTTTATATTTATATATATATAAATATGTATATATAACTGTATCTGTATAATACAATCCGATCAATGTATAATAAAAAAAATATATAAAATGAAATTATTTTTAAAACGTAAAAATCTGTTATATAAACAAATAATCCATTATAAATATATGAGTTTGTATATATACATGTATAGCATAGTAAAAATATTTACTCAAAATAATTTATTTTTAAGAATAAATAATTCTTAAAATCATGTAATAAATACTTATTTTAATTATTATAAAAAGAACGTCAGAATAACTTTTGAAAAATAAATTCTGTTTTCAATATTCTATGGTGAAAAGGGAAACATGTACTATTGCAAAAAAAAATTTTTTTTTTTGGAAATATTCATAAATTAAGAAAATTTATCGTTTTATTATAATTACAAATTTTCTAAAATATTATTGTAAATTTAGTTCAAATGTTATACAGAAAATATTTTTTGTTTTTAATTATAAAGAATTTTAAATTTTTCATAATTAAATGAAAATTTTAAGTTTTATTGACGAAAATATAGTGTAAATTTGTTTTGTGTTATACTATGACGGTAAATGTTTTTATTTTAATATTAATGATTCTTGAAAAATAATTTAATTTTTTTTAAAAGAATGAATGTTGAAAATTAATTTTGTTATATGTACTCATAATATAATTATTATAATTTTAATAAAAATTTTGCATTATCATCTCAATTAAATTAATATAATTAAAATAATTAAAAATTTATTCTATGAATTCGAAGAGAATCATTAAAGGTTTTTAATTAAGAAATTACTTAATAATCCCTTGATAAATTATACTAAAAAACAAAAAAATTTCCTACGTTTGATGATATCATATAATAACACATGATTTTCCTTTTAATGTTATTATCCACATTATTATCACTATTAGTTTAATTTTAACGCAATTGTACGCAGTACAACAAAATGTGCTGCAAATAGGACGATTCTAATACAAAAAATATCCTTTGTTTTATTTCCAATTTGGTTTTACAATTTAGAACACTCAAAATTTATCAAAATATTTTGTGAAAAAGACAAAAAAAAAAACGCAAGATTATTGAATTTATTTATATATGTAATCATATAGAAAATTGAAATGTATAACACGTGTCCATTAATCAAAAGTTAATAACTCAATTTTTAGTTGAATTAAGTGTCAATATATACTAATAATTCAATATTACAGGTGTAATATTGAAAAATATTAGTATGATCATATAATATTGGTATATATAAAATTTGTTGTAATTGTAAATTTTATAATATAAGCTATTTGGTACACCTATCCCCCTGAATCAAAACGCTTTAAATTATTACATTATATGATGGTGCTTATTAAATATAATTAGGAAATTAATTATTATAATTTCTAATTTCTTGTTGCATATCGGTAGGAGTAAAATGAACAATCCGAAAAAGAATACTAACATAATGGTATTACAAAGCTAAAATTAGTCAATTAAAATTTTTATCGTTGCATTTTTTAAATAAATAGAGGCTTGACAAAATTAGTTTTTAAAAAGAGTACTATACAAATTTAAGATTTCATTTGACATTTACTTTTTACTCTATACATAGTGATTAGTTTGGAAACAAAATTTTCTCTTGATAATTTTATTACAATTCTATTTTATCTTTCTCATTTTCAACCATTTTGTTTTGGTCACTTTTTATATCGTTTCGTAATATTCACAAGACTTGTTATGAAAAATATTTTTGACACTCATGTAGATCATAGTGCAGTAGGTGTACCTAGATTAGAAATATACAAAATTCATAAACAACAGACATTATACATATATTTAGGTGTGTTTGCACATATTATAAAAAAAAGTACTTTGAAGTGAAAATAAATGCTTAAACCATGAAAATAATAATTTTTGCTGATTTCATATCTAATGATTCATTGATATATTCTGTATATTAAAACTACTGTGTGCAAATACACAATATACACATATACATATATATATAAACACTATTTTATTGTTATATTTATTGTATATTAATTTTTTCTTTTCATTATACAATTTTCCTTTTTGAACTTGTTTTATAGACAGATATTATTTATAATAGAAATATTTTTCTGTATAACTTTATTTTCTATTACTTACCTATATCTACTATATGGATACATAGATTTATGTATATGCTTAAAATACTGTCTGTAATCTTTTTTACCTATATCAATGTATTCTTATTTTATTTTTGTTAAAAGGAAAAAATAGAATTTATTTTTGGAAATATCTGTTATACATAGTAACATAAATATTTGAATTTTATACAATCATACACATAATATGTATCCATATATGTATGTATATATCAGGAGAAGGAGTATATAATAATAAATAAGACGATAAGCTGAGGTCAAAAATTATAACATTATAATATTGTCATAAATTTTATATTGTGAGTTGTTCACAATAAATGTAACTTCATCATACTCATTTGAATTATATGGCCACTCTTATAATAATAATTTATAAATGTTGTGAATTTTGTAATTTAAAATATTTATGAAATACAATTCTATATAAACTTGATGACATCTAGATAATTTTAATTTCTCCCAAAACATTAAAAAACAAATTTTTTTTTTCGTTTTATATCGTTTTTGGCAATTTGGGAATGTACATATAAACATATAAAAAATTTTATGAGACTTATATTATCGTTCCTATATATATAGGTAAATAGGTATAGTACGTATGTAAGTACATACATAAATTCATATACATATAACTAAATAAAATATATATATATAAAAAAATATAAAAGGACGATGGAAATATAAAAAATTGTCTTATTACCGTCAATAAAATTGAAAAGAAAAAGTAAGGAGTTCAAATATGGATTTAGATTTTAGATTAATTAAAATTCTAAAAGGTATTGAATTAAATATGTATAAGTATATGTGTATGTGTATATGTACAAATTTTATAAAATGGATGAACTCAAAATGTGTTTTAAACAAATTTTAAAGTTTTAAACTACAAAATTTAATAATCAAAAATCAATAATTATTAAAAAACCACAATTGATTTTAGTAATTATTATTGTTATACAACTTAATGTGTATAAAAAATATTTTTATTTTTACCTGTGCGGTAAAGTTTCTTCCTGTTTAAAAATATTTCGTATTTCATCGCCATCAAATACAAATAAAAGATCAGCATGTCCAATTAAACCTTCAACTTTAACAATTCTTCCATATACATTAAATAATTCTTTCATAATTTTATCTAAATCACTGATTTTGTATTGACCTGCAAAGAAAATGTATTGCAAAAAAATTAAATAAAAGGTTTTATACAAATTAATTTTTTCATGCTTTTTGATCAAAGACTTTATTAAATAAATTTTTTTTAAAATATGCGAACTATAAGCAATAGAAATAAATGATTATAATTTTTTATTGAATTGAAAGTGAACCACTTTTTAAGTTTATAACTTGAACATACATATTTCTATAAAAATTTTGAAATTCGTTGCAAAATTCTCAAGTATTAGGAATTTTTTAAATATATGAATTTTTTATACATATGTATACAAAGTTTTTGCAATTTCAATTAGGTCAAATAATTCAAGACACTCTAATCTACTGAAATCTACCACTCAGAACCTATTCATCTCTTATGTATACATTTTTAATCTTTTTGATATTGTGAAAAGTTTTTATGCCATTTAATTTCCGTAATGAATATTAAAAACGAGTAACCCCAATACTCGTAAACCCAATTTAATAATATATATATTAAATAAAAACAAAAACTCAATTCGTAGTTATTAATTCACAATTGGAGCATAAAGTATTGACCTGAAGTCAACTTAGACTAGAGGAAATTAAAAAATTTAGAATTTTAAAATAAAATAAAAAAAACGCTTAATTGCAAATTTTTCTTTATTTGCAAAATTAAAAACAGCAGATAAACACATACTAGCTTTTCATATCGCATAAAGAAATTTAATTTAAGATTTTATTATACAAAAACAAGAAAAACATATAAAAAATTATGCTACAAGGTAATTTATAATTAAAGTTGTCTACCTTAAAGTGAAATTTTACAAATTTTCTTTCCTTTCTTTTACTATAATCGCATGGTGTTGTTTTTTAATGACATTTTGATTGTTTTTCATCAAATCTAAAAATATAAAATGTGTACTTTCACATCACTTTTCAAATAAAGAGGGGTATTTGTTCGAATTAACAAAAGATCAACTGTACAAATTACACTTGAAATTTTATTAATCCACCTATACATTTACGAGAAACAATTTCTTACATGCGAGGATGGAACAAAAATTTAGGCTATCTAATGTTCTGAAAACAAAAACCCATGAAAAATGTTCAAAATGTTTTCTCATAAAAAACGATTAACAAAATAAAAACCATAACTATCAAGTTTAAGTTCAAGATCTTATTTTTACAAAAAATTTAAATTTTTATACACAATTTCTTGAATTTATTTTTTTTTATACGAATTTCTTATTCTTTTTTTATTACGAGAAAATCCCAAAAGAAAAAAAAAATTATTTTCAAATTAATTTAATTTTAATTATTTATTTTAGAAAACAGCTTATAGGTACTATATAACTCTTCTTCCTAATTACTTTATGCCCCACATCTTAAATGTAGAAACAAGAAGATTAAAATAATAAACTTTTTATTATAATTAGCATTTTATGTATAACACAACGAATACAAACAACTAAACATTGAATAAATTTAAATAATATTGAATTTAATGGATAGAAAAATGTCATTATAACATAATTTATTTTTAAAATTTATGTAACTAGCCTAAAAGTGGGCAAAGAAATTCCAATGCATATAATTAAGTATTATTTAAATTTCACAGATAACTGTGAGAGCAAAAGAGGAAAAAAAATTTATTTTGAATTTTTTTTTTTGTTCAATCCACTCACTTATAGGAATTTTAAAATAAATTTTTGAAAAATTGGTTGATTAACAAATCAACTTGACAATATTGATACTCGTAATTCCAATACAAAATTTTAAATTTATAGGAAAATTTAGTTTTATAAAGTAGTGCAGTAGATTAACTTTAATTTTTTTTAAACTTATCAAATCCTATTTCTATACAGAATGGAAATGAAGTTTAAAAATATTTACGCCAAAATTAAAATGGGCTGGGTTGCAAATTGTCTCAAAAAACAATTGTCTCAAATTGTACATAATAATTATTAGAATATTGATTTCTTACAAATATTCTTCTATATTTGCTTATAATTGCCTTCTTTCATAAATTATTCATTTTATAATTTGAAATTAAGCATGACTTTTCTATCTAGTTCATTCCCCCTTGGGGAAAATTACGAAATTCGGATGAATATTTGCTTAGTTTTAGTTTATACTGTGTTGTAAACGGTAAACTAAATATTAAATAATTTTCATAATATATGTATATATGTACATTTGTATGTACTTATTATCATTTAAATAAATCTGAAATGTTTATTATAATCATCAGCATCGCTCATAAAACTTAAAGCATAAAAAAAAATTTATGTTAATTTAATTTTACTATAGTATGGTTCATACAATTTTACAGCACAAATAATATGCAATAGGTTTTAACACTCGCAAGGTATATTTTTGTAACATTAACAAAATAACGCTCCAATATATGTTGATATACGTATATTATTGTATACATATAAATTTATAAAAGTAACATCACAACTTAACAGTTTTGCATGTATAATTTTGTGAAAACTTGTTGACTGCATTTCTTTTTTATTTCTCTTATAAATTTTGTGTGTACTTTGTACAAAAAGGGTAACTATTGAATGACATTCTTTACTATATTTTCTTCAATTATATTATGTATTTGTACAACTTAATATGCATACATATGCGATGCAAGTATAATACACTATAAAAAACTTTTTTTTTTGTATTTTGAATTGAAAGAGCGCTTATTTTTCTTTCAACGATTGAAAATCATGGCCTTAACCTTTATCATATACTAAAATATGAATTTATGAATGGAAAATTTTTTAAAAAATTTCTTTTAAAAATTATAATTTACATAATTATGTATATGTATATATGTATATTTCCTAATATGAATCGTTTATGTATGCATTTATATAATATTTTATTTCTCTACAAATTTAATATATAATATCTATAATCACATAATTCACATAATGTCACAATATGGGAAAAATTTTGTTCATCAATTTCTTTAGTTCATATTATAACGCACGTTTTATGTTATAATTGAACCACTTTGAAAATTAATAAGGGTTTTAATTCTATATAAGGCCATTATACTCCAAACTTCATATAATTTATTTGGCAATTGTTGGAGAAATATGCGATAAAAATAATTATACCAATATTTTAAAATTGTTGAAATTTAAAATTAATTGATTTTGTTCAATAGATTTAATTTAATGTTATTATAGGGCATTTTTTATTCAATTGATGTAGCACAAAAAATATAAAGTATTCAAATTGAAATAGTTTCAAAAGCAATTTTCTACAATTATTACTAATCCTTTCTTCGTCAAAAGTAGAATTTATTGAAATTAAAGTAAAATTAATTATAAAAATATTATGCAAAATATATTATACTTTTTTTCTATGAATTCGGCAAAATGCTCGTAATCAATGCCATTAATTTGTACCATTAAATTTGTAGCATTTTTTAATTAAATTAATACTATTTAGAAAGCTTATACGCTCATTTATACGTTCATATACATACTTTAAAATTATAATCTATAATCATAATGTTTCTGTTGTTTTTCCTTTATCTTAATAGATTAAGGGCCTGATCGCTTAGATCGCTATTTTACTCAGTAAATGCGAAGAAACTGAGCAACTATCTTATATAATATGATTGTATAATGTAATTTGAGCGAGGAGAATTATTCGATGTTGCTTTACATCTTTTATCCTGTTAAAACCTGAAAACTAGTTTATGTCCCTATAAAATTACAACTTTTTATAGATATTTATTATTTTACCCAGAGTTCTTAATCATATTTAATAAATCTAATTTTCTCTTTTATTTAAAATTTTAGTTTCATTTAGTAGCTTAATGGGTAAATTCAATTATCATAAATATAATTTTCCAAATAATTTTGAATGAATGTACGGCCATATAATATAATGTATAACGTAAATGAAAGCTATTGTTTAACTTAAAAGAAAAAACCTTGGCTAATTCCATTTAGAATTTACTTGAGTCGGATCAAGTGCATCTTAAAATAATAATAATAATTACTAAAGTATACAACACATACAATTAAACAAATTATTTATATGTATGTGTATATATTATATGTGTATAATATTTATATAAAGTACAGGCTCATTGAAAATTTTTAATCTGAAATTTTTTTTTTGGTATTTTTATACATATAACATTTTTTTTTATTCTACATATATACACACATATTTCGAGGATTTATTATGACGTTCCATAATAGAAGGTCTTATAAATATTTTACATTCACATTCATATAAATATAATTTATAGTTTTCGCACAATGTTTATTACTACATGTGTACACTGACATTAATATATAAGTGAACGAAAAAACCGCAAGGTCATTTACAGAGGTTACTTTTTAATAGAATATTGCAATTTGCAAATTCTATATACATAAAATATGTGTATACCTAAATATTTCTATATACTAAAACATTATACAATTAAAATAGAATTTGAATGCCAAGTTTATGATGCGAATTACAAGAGTTTTATACTAAAAAGGCTAAGGTTATCATTTAAAAAATTTTTGTAAATATTTTTATTTAATATTTAAATATCAAAAAAAAAAAAAATTTTTTTTTTTCAAAAAAATTAAAATACCATAGTGCCAAACTTAAAATTAAAGACCTTGAATTTTCTAATTGTTTTATATAAAATTGAAGTATGTAAAATATTATACATATACATACTTACATAGGTACAAATATTACATTTTTAACTTACCAATAATTGGTGCGAATCTCCATGAGTTCCCAATAAAAGGTAAACCTTTTGGTCCTGGTATTTCAGAAAATGGTTTAACATTTCTATTAGAAAAAAATTAAATTTGAAATTAATTTTAAAATTTATAATTTAATGTGAATATTAATTTTATTAATAATTTTCATTTAAAATATATTACAGTTATTTTATACATACATACACTTAAGGGTATTAAGTTAAAGAATTTTTTTTTCATAATTTAAATTTAATATTTTAATGAAGATACCAAAATTTGAGACCATAACGAATTCTTTAATTTCGAAAAATAATGAAATAAATTAAGTGCAAATTTTCTTTTATTTGATTTCTCAATTCGTTTGAATGACTAAAAATTTTCATAATATAAAACTAAAGCATAATATCCATTGTACTACGTATTTGTGTCGATATTCCTAGTTGAATCTTTTGTTTCAAGTTGGACATATTTTTTTTAATTATCAGCTAACAACATGTTAATATTTAACAAATTAATATACTTGTGTATATGTACATATGTACATATATTTTCAATACTTCTGTTTTTTTCGTCTTCTATAAATACAAGCATTTAATTATCTTTTGGTCTCAAAAATTTTCAATTACATAGTAAAATAATTAATTTGTACAAATCGAATTTATTAGGTGCGTTCAAATCAAATTCAAGGTCGTTATATGATTTTAAATATCTATTGTTTATTTTGCACTCAAATGTTTTGTTTTCGTTTTGATTTTTAAATTTTTTCAAGAAAAAATATTTATATTTACAAACATAATATAATATATAGTCCTAAGAAAATATAGATCTTGTAGTATCATAAAAATAGAATAATGTTGTCGTCATTGTTGATTCACTATAGCATGAAAAAGTAAAGTAGCATCTACGTAAAGTAGCATCTTTATAATACATGTATACGTATAATATGTATATAGATATATAGGTACGTGTACTTACTAATTTCAAATGTTATAAAATACAATACATGATATTACACCCATTTACAATAATTTCAATTTGTACGTTATTTGTTTTTTTATGCTTGTATTACTAAGAGTTTTAAATTATTTAATAAAATAGAAATAAACGAATAATTTATTAGAATATGACGTATACTAAAATTTGTATCAATTGTGCTACAATCTTATATAAAATTGTAAACGTTTTGTAAAACTTTAATGATTTTTTTACAATACGGATATTTGTATTTCAGACTACTACCATATTTCAATTGCAAAATGAAGTGATAAAATTATTGTACCTTACGAATATCGGGAATTTAAAAATTCTTCCTTAAATTCTAAACTATGTTATATTTTACTAAAAATTAAAGAAAAACTTTTACTTTGAAAATAAAATAATGTTCAAAATTAAGACTTATTACTTCTAAATCTTTAATTAATGAAGAGCACTTTCAATTTTCTTTTGTTATAAAGTCAATTTGCTTACAAAAACAATTTGTTTACAGGCATTTTCTAGGGCAAAGAAATAATTTACTATTCATGCCATCTCTATCCAGATATATTATAAGATTAAGTGGTTTTTATTAAAAGAAAAATATGAATAGTTCATATTTTTCTTTCTGCATAGATATATAAGCCTACATCAGGTTTTTTGTAAATATGCACATAAATTACTAAAAATGAAAGAAAATATTTATTACAATTTACATGTGTATAAATGTTTGTATATGTACATAGGTATGGATGTGTGTTTATAAATTTGTGTACCCAAAATGCTCAGATAAACGAGATTTTTATTTTCCTTCTATTTTTTTTTGTTTTTGCTTGTTCCCTTTATTTTTTCCTCAAAATAAATATTTATTTTTTCTATTTTAAACCAGAAAAAAAAGAAATCAAAAATCGAACAAAATAAAAACTTGAAAATTTTTCCTTACCTTTTTTCTTTGAAAATTGACGTTGTTTGAATCTCTTGTGGTAAAGCTGCTGCTGCTGTAGAATAGGAAGCATTTTTCAATAAAACATAACTTTTCCTAAGACATTTGGTCATTTTTATATTATTGTTTTTTTTTGTTTTAAAATTTGTTCTTGTTTTTTTAAATAAATCTTTACTTTTTTTTACTTTTTTTTTCTTTTTGTTTATTTTATTCAGTAAGTACAAATTTATCGAATAAATAAATCGATATTACATGTGCTGTTTGAATAAGAACAAATGGTTTTCGATTATTCTGTAAATATAAAATTTCTACATAAAATCGATGTAAACATAATTATAATAATGTATACACACAAAATTAACACAAAATTTAGTACTTTTCATATAAGAAATGTAAATTATATTTTAACAAAAATATTATATATAAAATTATAATTAATGTAGATACGTAATTAATGTAGATGTACCTTTATAACCCTATGATATTAAAACAAAATAAAATTCTACAGAGAGTTTAAAAAATAAATGCCTAGTTTCCAAGAAAATCATAATAAGAGAAAGCACTATTTAATTCCTTTACATAGTCAAATCGTACAGAACAGAACTGAGTTTAATTGAATTAGTATGGTTATCCTAGGTAGAACGGGAAGTGATTATTATCAAAAGGGTATACTGTGCACTAATGACGTATATGTTAATTTTTATTTCCCAATTTCAAGTGAGCTGTAAATGAATTAAAAACTTGCAGCGGTTACCCTTTACTAAAACGCTACCTATTAGATAATTACCTAAACATAAATACCATAGGTACGGTATATGCACAATCATGTAACAAAACCAGTTCAATATAAGATATAAATAACATTTTAATATTTAGGTATATTTGTGAAAACCAACCACTAAATGAAAAGACAAATTGAAACACATAATATAATAATAGACCAAGATACTTTAAGAGTTTTACATAAAAAACACAAACATTCAAACATTGCTTTGAATTGTAGTAATTTATTTCTTTATTTTTTTTTGTAGCTTTATTAATGTACTAACATTAAAAATAAGTTGATTTTATTTTCGAATGTTTATATAACATTTTAAAAGTGCGAAAATACATAAATTTATTATTTCAAATATTGTAAAATTTATTTGTAAACAATTACATTTGAGAGAGAAAGAGAGATACAGCAACAGAAAAAAAAATTAAAAGAAAAATAAAAAAATCTTATAAAATTTAAAATCGGGACCATTTTAGGTGCTAATTTTAATGACCTTTGTAAAATTAAAATGTATATAGATTTTTGTTTGGGAGGTAAGATATTTAAATTTAGCGTTATTATGTGAAAAAAAGATGTCGAATAGCTAGTATGGGATTTTTTGTTTTTTAGCAACAGAGTTACATATTTTTGTTATTTTTATTATTTATTTTACCTTTTCTCTATAGGAAATAGTTTAATATATTTGCTTACCTACTTATACATATAAATCTGTGGGTTAGGTTAAATAAAGCTAAATTATACCTTTGCGTAAGTCTCAATCTGTCTAAATACACATATTATACACATATGCATGTGTGGGCATTTACAGTTTATTAATTTTTCCTAAATACTGCCTGTTATAGCTTCTATTCTATTTCGGTATTTCTATACTCGTAACTTAAATTATCCTTAAAACGATTTGGAATTGCTTGAAATTAAATAAGAACTATGAAACAATTTTTCTAACAATTTATTTAATTAATTACTGATTTATTTTCATTTATAATGATATTTTTATATTTTTTAATTAAAAATATAAAAGAATGTTTTCCTGCATAAACATACTAAAATATTTGACATTTTAATTAAAAATTTAAGATTTTTAATAAATATGCTAAAAAATATTTAAAAATATTTTAAAGCTTTTTTCGAAATTTGAAATTTCTTTTGAAAAAAAAAAAGAAAAGTTTCGAAATTTCGCATTAAATCAATTGCCCATTTACATAAGAAATAAATAATAACGAGAATTCTACGTTTATCGTAAATAATTATAGTACACATTAATTCCAATTAAATTAAATCATGCCATCAATCCACTTATATTGGAAATTAATAATTTTGTTCTATATATTAATTATAGTAATTTAATATTTAATGTGACAATTTTCTTAATAAAAATTAATGAGAATTTTTAAACATCATTTCAGTTAGATTTCCAAATTAGGGCAATCAATAATTGGTAATATAATCGCCCAAAATTAAATAGGATGATTTTTCAGATAACCTAAATATTTGTACCCTAACTAAATTCACATTAAATAACAAAATTTATTTCTTCTTTTCCATCTTGTATTTCAAAAAATTTATTTTCTCCTTAAAATTTAAATGTTGAAATTCTTTCAAACTAAAATTAATTATATTATTTAAACTTTTTTTTCTATTCATACATAATTTTGCAAATTATAACGAATGGTAAAGAAAATTTCTAAGAAATTCTATAAAACTCGTGTTAACTTATAACTCGGGTGCGAGAGAGAAGACTCAACTTTCAAGATAAATTTTTTAATATATTGAATTTTCTTAAAAAAAAGAAACTAATATTCGTACATTAGAATTTAAAATGTCCTTTATAATTTAATACACTTATGAATTTATATGAATTATAATATTAAATATGAATATCAATGTAGAAATATGAAAATTTCTAAAAGAATTAAAATATTTTTGTGTATTTCTTTTTCTAAAAGTATTAAAAAGGATTATCCAGGGGCAACATTAGGTATGTAAAATAATCCTATTGAAATTCTATTTCACTTGTAAAATGCAAATTTTTCTTCTTAGCTTATCTTTTTCAAAAGTCTGCAATAAATTAAAAGGCCAAAAATAATGCTCTTGAATTCATGAATATTTTGAAAAAAAAAATTTAATATTGAATATAGTAGAATTTTTCCAAAGAATGCTGTTTATATTAGATGCATTTCTGTATATATAAGAAAACCTTGCTTCTGAAAATTATGAATTTAATTATGATTCAAAGCAATTAATCGATTAAAATAGTCAGTTTATGTTGGTATATACAATCAAAACTTTTATCGATATATTTATTTTTATATATCTCAAATATAAGAAATTTTTGTTCTACGAATTTCATTTTATATTGTAAAATATTATACAGAAAGTATTAAAATGAATGTCAATTAAAAATAAAAATAATTTTCTTTTATTTCTTCTTGGATTATAATTTAATTTTAAACTTATTAACATTTGATTTTCACTTTCAAATATAATAACCAATAATATAATTTTCATTTTAATTTCATTATTATTTATTTACATCATAAAATTCATATGTTTTCTACTGATGAAAGAACCTTTGATAGATTTATAATAAAATATGTATGTACATATATAAATTTAATGCATATACTCAAGGAGAAAAAACTTAAAGAAAAACAGGAAATTTTATTATACATATGTACATAAAGGTCAATATAAAATGCAGCAATTTCATTTTAAAATAATTAAATTATTAAGAATCTTTGATTTTAATGTATATGTACCCGTAGATTATTAAATTAAAAGGTAAAGCATAAAATATTTTAATATATGTATATTACATATATAAATGACTTTTAAATATAATTAAGAAATTTTATTTTTATATTTATCATCGTATACTTAACATCAAAAATAAATTGAAAAGTGTACAAATAATTGAATTAAAAACACTATAAAAACAAAAAGAAATAAAAATGGGGAATTATATACATATTATTAAAGTTCCATCAACTTCCGTTCATACACTGAATAGTTGTATATAATTACATAATAAAAGTTTTTTAGCATGCGTCCACTTATTATAAAAAATATGTACATAAATATTAATTTCATAAACAAAGTCACATTGTATAAAGTCGAAGAAAACAAGTTTTTTTAAGATGAAAAAATATGTAAAAGGATTCTTAATATTTGGCTTTCTTAAATTTCTTATGGAATTCCAGAAGGAATAATTTTCACTTTATAACATTAAATTATATTAAGTAAAACTAATTTCTAAAATAATTTCTTAAATAATTATTAATATCCTTATTACAATTTTTTTTTACATTAAAATATTATTCAACTATGATAAGTGGAAAGCTAATATAGTTAAAAATCACGCAATTTTTTTCACGGACCTATGAATATTTACACTCAATATTACAAAGTATTTGAACGTATACATATAATGTCTGTCAAAAATTTAATGAATTTAATTATAGGAAACATATAATCAGTAAAAATTTGAGGTAAAATAAGAAAATGTTTCGTGCAATGAAAAATTATTTTAGTATTTTATAAATATTATAAAATTTTTGTGAAGTATTGCACGTTTTGGTACTTTAGAAATCGTAATCCATGTTTTGTAAATCTTGCAACAAAAAATTAATAAATATATTAAATTACTTAACTAATTCAACTTAAACTGTTTATTTCAGAAATGATTTGATTTTCTTTATATTTAAAAAATCGTATAGAAATGTGAAAATTTTAAAATATAATTTCTCGAAATACTTTAAAAATTAATTGCAGTTAAAAGTCAATCAAACAAAAAGAAAATAAATTATTCAATAAATTACGATTGAAATCTGATCAAATTTAATAAAATTAAAATATTTTTTAAATTTAAATTTTATTTTTATATTAAAAATACTTTTAAAAATTTCTTAAATAATTTTAACACCACATTTATTGTAATAATGGAAAATTAACAAATAATTAATTTTAAAATTATCTTCATTTAGAAAATTACATAATAAATGAGCTCATTTTAGTTTACGATCACTATATACTCGTACAATTACATTTTTTATCGTTATTTAACAATAAATGCAATTAATTTTTTTTCTTGTGTTAAAAATGCACTTTTCTTTTCGTTGTATTAAAATTATTGCATTCTACTGCATAAATTTATATTTTATAAATTCATTCACCTTATGAAATTTTGTTTTGTATTTCACTTTTTTTTTTTTTTTTGTAAAAAATGAAAATATCTTCGTTTTAAAAATTACTTTAAAAAATAGACACACACGCACACTCTCAAGAAACTCAAATATTATGAATTTTCCAGATTTGAGATTTTCTTTTTCTTTCCATTTGCTATTTAATTAATTAAAATTTTTTTAAATGTAATTTTTCATTTTTTGTTATTTGCTTTATTAATTATAAAATAATCACTATTAAAATCACTAATTTTATATTGTGTATGTTAAATGAAAATTTTTCACATAAAGGAAAATTGATCCGACTAATTTGATTCCTCGATACAAAC